AATTCTGCACAGTTCTGAAATCAAGATCAGTGCTGTCATAGCAACAAGGGTTCATCTTCCTCTGCTTTTGGGAAAGGGTGCTGAAATCATAACCAGGTGGCTGTGATTGCTTTCACTGCCTTCCGCACTATGGTATGTGTTGCAGCTAGAGGCAGAAGACAACCTGATATCTTTCTCATGGTAAAAGCAATGCATTTTAAGTGGTCTGTATTGTAATGTAAATAATGATAGGTCAGGAGAAATGACTGTGGCTCTTTAAATGTTCTTAATTCATGTTTTTCAAAAATGTATTCCAGATAGAGCATGTGGAATTTTTGTATTTCACCCACTAATAACCGGAGCATATGAACTTTAAAACAGTGTGAATTCAGCTTAAATCATCATCCAGTCACATCCAAGAAAACAAAAATGTTTTTTTTTTTCATTTTTCTTTTCTTTTTCAATTTTCTTGCCAATGACTGGGTATTTTGACTTTCATTTTATTTCACCTCATTCGCTATGATAACTGAAAATTCACTTTTAAAGTGAACATGCTCCACTTATTTAGTAAATTAGGATCACTGAGTATCACTGGTTTTTGTATCACAATAAATGTATATGCTTTCAGAATCAATTTTTTTCCTATCAGTTAACTCCCTTCCAATTGTAATTGGTCAGTGTGTAACACATTAACATAATTCAATATATAATGTCATTCGAAAACCTAAGTGCGACCTGTGGAAATTGATGATCGTTTCATCATATTTAGGCAAATATTAGATCTTCATTCAAACAGGTCTTATAGAAAATGGTGATATACAGTACTTCAACAAATGACACATAAAATTGATATGGTGTAATTAGTCTCATAATCTAAGTTAATGAAATGCAGATTTGTCATGTGGAAAAGGAAAATACACCCCTACAAGTATCACCACTTCAAATTCATTACATTAGAAACAGATGTTTCAGATTAGGTGCCCATGATTAAAATCTTCTTAAGGAGCATGCAGGTGGAACTTGTCTCATTTTAACTTCAGATATCTAGGGTATGGTGCACTCTTTGTTATTGATGTGTGTAGTGTTATATGCCAAGATCAAAAGACCCTCAGAAAGAAAGTTGTGGATACCTATGAGTTTGGCAATGTATTTAAAAATATCGCCAAAATATTTAGATTCATTTAGATTCATATTTAGATTCCACTCTAAGAAAAATAAAAGTGGCTTTGATATCAAACAGCTGCCAATTACTCCAGCACTGCTCAGAATATTCAGCCCAAGAACTGGCTGTTTGATGCTAACAGAATTCTCAAAAAAAAAAAAAAAATTTTCATTATGGGATCTCCATGTACAGTAACTCTTGCAATGGTTGTTATTAAAGTGTATACGTCTACATTCAGAAAGAGATTGCACCAAGTTAACCCATATGAGAGGTATGTCAAAAAAGCCTTAGCTGTCCATTGAGAATACTGTACAAGCAAAGACCTGGTGTCCTGGAACAGTATGCTGTGGACAGATAAATCAAAGGTAGGATTGTTTGCCCACAGTAAGAGTAGACTTGTTTGGTGCAACACGAAGACAGCATTTTGGGACAAGAACCACAAACCAACCATGAAGCATGGTGGTGGGAATGTTATGGTTTGGAGATGTTCTGCTACTTAAGGGTCTGAGCATCTTACAGTCATTGGGTCAGCTGTAAATTATCCATTATAAACATCGGAGTCCTGTGTGGATACTCAATGAATACTCTAACACATAAGTTAGAATCCTGGAATTATGTTCAAGTATTGTTTTACTCTTTGTAAGTCGTTTTTTTTTTGTAACTCTTTTTAATAAATATGAAAAAATAAATTCTTTAAGAGCATAATGTGCTAGTATGCATAGTATACTAGCACATTATGAAAGACTTACCTGAAAACGAAGTCCACCAGCGGGGCACTGTCACTGCTCCCCGAGGCTTTCATCTTCATCTTGTCTTCCTTCTGAGTTCACGAGCTGTGGCCATCTAATTGGCTGAGCCACGATGTCATCACACCCGTGCATGTGTGCAGGAGTTTTGGCCGCAGCACTGCTCTCTCAATGGACAGCATTCTGTCCATTGAGAGTGTAGTGTGCATGCGCCGGTGACATCACTGGCACTTCTACAGTAAATATATCCTAAATGGTGCATGTTTAGGAGATATTTACAGTACCTACAGGTAAGCCTTATTAAAGGCTTTCCTTTAGGTAAAAGATACAAATGTGGATTTACTTGCACTTTAATAACAATTACATCAGATATTAAAATTAAAAAAGTGTTTCTGTTGGGTAAACAATAGTCCCTGCTTCATTTATAACTTATGGTATGAAATTAGCATGTCATTTTCATTGGTCCCTGGTTGGCCATTTAGGTAATACTCCAGAAAATCTTGTTAAGAGAAAACAGTTTAATCTTCTTTACGACATTTCAAATTGAATATCACACAACGCATGTCAAGCTTCCAAAAGAATGAAAGTTACAACAAACAAAACAAAATCAATATCTCACCTCATAATGTAAAGAGCGTAGGCATATCCTACAAATGGTCAATAAAAGGTGGAAGAATGAAAATGCTGCACAGATCTGGGAAATATTATTGTTTTATTGTACATGCTCCTTTTCTCATCTCTTTTGATATCAAGATAAAAATAACAAAGGAACGAGTTAGTTCTATTTGTCATGTGACTTGGAATTCAGCCTAATTTGCTGTGCTATGATTGCATGATTGAGACAACTAGATTTATTCCCCCCACTTATCTGATTGTTCCAAAGTTATTAGGGACCCAATCACTAGCACAATATGATTGATGGCAAATTATGATGATGATGATGACTACTGTTAGTAATATTGAGCTTTTAAGCATTCATATAAACACCAGCTGATTCCACTGCAAGGTGCCCTAGAGGAACCTGTGAAAGAAAAAAAAAAAACATCATATTAAAGGGCTGATTTACATAGGCTGTCAGAGGCAGTTTATAGCACTGACTCATATATTCTTGCATGTACATCCCTGTGCAAGTACACATTCTAAACATGGTGATGTTAACTCTATAATCTCTGTGGTATAGATTACTATTGGCAGTCATTTCAAATATTAGTAAACACAAAGTGGTTCTAAAGGCTAAAGGTTTTTTACCTTCATGTATTCTATGTATGAAGGTATAAAACCTTCAGTATTCAGCACCCCCAGTCCCCCAATACTTACCTGAGCCCGATCTTGATCCATTGATCTGCATGAGAGCAGAGGCTGTCAATTCCTTCCATCCTCATTGGCTTAGACACAAGAGCCATTGTTTCCCGCTGCTTTTAGTCACAGCAAGTGAGAAGGGAGCAAGTGGCTTGCTATAGCGGGTACTCGGCGAGGGCCAGGAGCGCCGGCATGGGACCTGAGAAAAATAGAATCAGATCTGCTCTGTGCAAAACCATTACACAGAGCAAGTAAGTAAAATAGATTTATTATTTAAAAAAAAAAAACATTTGAAACCACTGTAAACAGCCTATTCTGACTAAATTCCAGAACAAATGTTTTATTATACAAATTATACATGAAGAGTTTGGTGAAAGCAGTTGAGGCATATCAGATAAAATTAGTGTTACAATTCTAAGTGCAATATATTCCCGTTTGTTATGATTACAGGGATACTGATCTGTGTATCAAAAATTAACTGTTGCCTGGATTATTTAATGAAGGGGAGCCCTTATATGTGATAAGATGCTTTCAGATCATTTTTCAGCTGTTCTCCAATATACCAGCAAGCTAGTTGTGTATTTTATTATGATAAAAGTCAAATAGTTCAGATTTTTTTTCAAGCTCTGCTTACCTGGGATCAAGGGCTGAATGAAACCCATTACGGTTTCACCAGAGCAAGAGGTGCCAAGGTTAAATAAGCAGGTGAGAACATAGCAGGAATCCAGTTGTTCACAGCTTTCTATGCTGGATTCCAGCCCCAGTGCTTGGTGTACTGAGCTTCTACTATTCGTGAAACAATAATAAAAGTAAAAAAAGAAAAATATGAAAGAAATAAAATGAACATAATAGACTGGGCCAAGTCAACAACTTTAACATCCCTGCACATTATTCACATGTTGAATCAGCTGATCAAAATAGACCATTATCCTTGCAAACTAATTTTCTTATCTCTGCATATACAGTAGGCAATACATTAAAATCATTGTGCTGATGAAAGAATTTGAGTGGATAGCTGATACTTAAATCACTTTATTAAGGTTTTTAAAAAATGTGTAAGCTTACCAACAATATCTGACAAGTAAAGCTATTGGAAATTTTGGTGTATTACAGAGTGAGCCTGGACCTACAAAGGTGAATGCTATGTGCATGACTTGTGCTTCATCTTGATTATTCAACAGTACTTATTTTTAATAGAGTGGGGAAGGTTTAGAAACCCTGCAAGGTTTTATTGCTATCCAGGCTCTATTAGATTTACCCATGGTTTCACAGGGTAAGAAGTAAAAGGAAAAATTGCAACAGGGACACAGGAAGTAATACAATCTGACAGGGGTTCTAAATTTCCCTTATGCTACTAAAGAAAAATAATTTTGTTTCTATATGTGCTGCTGTTGAGTTCCCATCACTTCCTGTCTGGTAAAATAGTGTCTGCAGGACAGGAAGTCAGGGGAAATTTCTCTAGGTGAGCCCCAGAAAGCAGTAGAAACCAGGCATGGTTTAATTACACTTTAATGTATTATTTTGAATGGCTAACTACAAACCTACTGCTGCCCAGGAACCTGACTGTCACACAGAATAAATCTCAGCCCTTAGTCACACAGATTTAACCCCTCGCCTACAGGGCACTTATACCCCCTTCCTGCCCAGGCCAATTTCCAGCTTTCAGCGCTGTTGCACTTTGAATGACAATTGCGCGGTCATGCAACACTGTACCCATATGGAATTTTTATCATTTTTTTTAGATAGATAGAGCTTAATGTTGGTGGTATTTAATCACCTCTGGGTTTTTTATTTTTTCTTAAACAAACCAAAAACAAAATTTTGTAAATAAGTGATTTTTCTCCTTCACTGATGTGCGCTAATAAATCTGCAGTTATGGGCACTGATAGGCTGCACTGATGGACACTGATAGGTGGCACTGATGGGCACTGATGAGGAGGCACTGGTAGGTGGCACTGATGGGCATTGACAGGCATCACTGATGGGCACTGAAAGGCAACACTCATATATGGCACTGATAGGCGGCACTGACTGGCACTGTTAGGCGGCACTGATAGGCAGCAATGACGGGCACTGATAGGTGGCACTGATGCACACTGATAGGCGGCACTGACTGGCACTGATAGGCGGCACTGACTGGCACTGATAGGCGGCACTGACTGGCACTGATGGGTGACAATGAAAGGCAGCACAGATGGGCACTGATATGTGGCATTGATGTGCACTGGTAGGCACTGAAATGTGGCATTGATATGGCACTGATGGGCACTGGCAGGTGACATGGATGAGCACTGACAGGTGGCACTACTGGGGCTACACTGATGATCAGTGTACATGTCCCCTCCGAGGAATGCCGATTACTGGCTCTCCTCACCTCTGTCAGCGTGACAGCTCGTGAGGAGAGAAATGCTGATAACCAGCATTTCCCTATTTACATGCGATCAGCTGTGATTGGACACAGCTGATCACATGGCCGAGCTGTCATCTTCGGCTCTTTCTGTTGATCGGTGATCCGCTGTGTCCGACGGACACAGCGCACTGCCGATCGCCGCGCTGTGTGCTCCCGGAGCCGCACATGCGCATTTAGAAAGGGAGGACATCATATGACGTCCTCCCAGAACGAGAGAACCGCCTTGCACTTGTCATCGTACTACAGTCATGGCCGAAATTGTTGGCACCCTTGATATTTTTCCTGAAAATCAAGTATTTCACACAAAAAAGGTATTGCATTAACACATGTTTTGCTATACACATGTTTATTCCCTTTGTATGTATTGGAACAAATATAAAACAGAGGCAGAAAAGCAAATATGACATAATGTCACACAAAACCCCAAAAATGGGCTGGACAAAAGTATTGGCACCCTTAACTTAATATTTGGTTGCACACCCTTTGGAAAACATAACTGAAATCAGTCGCTTCCTATAACCATCAATAAGCTTCTGACACCTCTCACCCGGAATTTTGGACCACTCTTCCTTTGCAAACAGCTCCAGGTCTCTCTTATTGGAAGGACACCTTTTCCCAACAGCAATTTTAAGATCTCTCCACAGGTGTGTTCAATGGGATTTAGATCTGGGCTCATTGCTGGCCACTTCAGAACTCTCCAGCGCTTCTTTGCCATCCATTTCTGAGTGCTTTTTGACGTATGTTTGGGGTCATTGTCCTGCTGGAAGACCCAGGATCTTGGACGCAAACCCAGCTTTCTGACACTGGGCCCTACAGTGCGACCCAAAATCCTTTGGTAATCCTCAGATTTCATGATGCCTTGCACACAGTCAAGGCACCCAGTGCCAGAGGCAGCAAAACAACCCCAAAACATCATTGAACCTCCACCATATTTTACCGTAGGTACTGTGTTTTGTTCTTTGTAGGCCTCATTCCGTTTTCGGTAAACAGTAGAATGATGTGCTTTACCGAAAAGCTCTATCTTGGTCTCATCTGTCCACAAGACGTTTTCCCAGAAGGCTTTTGGCTTACTCAAGTACATTTTGGCAAACTGTAGTCTTGCTTTTTTATGTCTCTGTGTCAGCAGTGGGGTCCTCCTGGGTCTCCTGCCATAGCGTTTCATTTCATTTAAATGTCGACGGATAGTTCGCGCTGACACTGATGCTCCCTGAGCCTGCAGGACAGCTTGAATGTCTTTGGAACATGTTTGGGGCTGCTTATCCACCATCCGGACTATTCTGCGTTGCAATCTTTCATCAATTTTCCTCATCCGTCCACGACCAGGGAGATTAGCTACAGTGCCATGGGTTGCAAACTTCTTGATAATGTTGCGCACTGTGGACAAAGGCAAATCTAGTTCTCTGGAGATGGACTTGTAACCTTGAGATTGTTGATATTTTGCCACAATTTTGGTTCTCAGGTCCTCAGACAGTTCTCGTCTCCTCTTTCTGTTGTCCATGCTTAGTGTGGCACAGACAGACACACAATGCAAAGGTTAAGTGAACGTCTCTCCTTTTTATCTGCTTTCAGGTGTGATTTCTATATTGCCCACACCTGTTACTTGCCCCAGGTGAGTTTACAGGAGCATCACATGCTTGTAACATTCTTATTTATCCGCAGTTGTGAAAGGGTGCCAATACTTTTGTCCAGCCCATTTTTGGAGGTTTGTGTGACATTATGTCGAATTTGCTTTCTTTCCTCCCTTTTTTTGTTTTGTCCCCAATACACACAAAGGGAATAAACATGTGTATAGCAAAACATGTGTTAATGCAATACGTTTCGTGAGAAATACATGATTTCCTGGAGAAATATCAAGGGTGCCAACAATTTCGGCCATGACTATATGGCGGGCGGGAGGCGGTTAACGTCACCATACATGCAGGTTGCTACTCCCCTATCTGTCCTGCACAGAGATCTGGTTCAGGATGGAGCATCCTCCCTAAGCAGCCTGGAAATAATTATATTGCCCAGACCTGCTTCAGCTGAGCTTGTTAACTCCTGAGTGGGCCAAGCAAACTCACCACACAGCACAAAAAGGAAAGCAGTCCATATATTGCTTGCACCTGGGACAAATATATATACAACAGTGCCCCACTGTTGGTTTCAGTGTGAGGAATAGTGCCTCATATGAGTGGGAGAAATAGTACCCCATGGCACACAGGCCACTGATTGGAAACCATTTCACTGCACCAAATTGATACATGCCAGAATCTCTGAATCAATAATTGGCTGATACCTTTCTGGGGTTAACCCCCTGCAGTAAGGACTGTCAGGAAAAGGATCCTGTGAATACCTAAAGTGTAAAAAAATGTAAATAACATTAAATTACTAGTTCTCTAATTCATTGTTTATAGTAATCTAAGAATAATTAGTAATGTAAGATGTTGTTTGCCTCACATACATGAGTTTTATTTTGATTGGACATCCCATCTGTGAAAGTTTTTGAGGAGTTTTATAGAAAAATATTAGGCAGACACAATAAAGTAATTTTCTCGAGTCAGGGTCTACAGATCACCACAAATGTGCTAAATAGAACAGAGTGTACATGTCAGTTTGTGTGCTATCTTTGCTTTTGGGCCACATCTGACCAATCCACTTTAATCAGCCCACCAACTCACCAATTTAAGGCCTTATTTAGACATGCTGTTGGGGGAAAGTAAAAATGCATGGTTGAGTTGCAATTTTTCTGCCTTTTCCTCTCTCAGGTTGCAATAGGCAGCACACAGGGGTGTTTAAATGCCACAGTTGCAATCTTTCACTTCATGCCTGCAGCAAAATATACCTGATATGCAGTGATTGGTATGTGGCAAGCCTGTCAAATGTAACACATTCAGGTGAACAGTGAAGCACTGCAAATGCATACAGTGCAAGTGGTTGCGGCACGTTTGTCAGCAAAAATGGGTTAAAACAGTTGGTTAGGAGGCATCACATCACCTCCTTACTGCCTGCTAATTGTGCCTGAAGCAAACACAGATCATGCTTCAGAGGAAAGATAGACTTGGATGCACATCTAAATCTACCCTGTTTCCAAAAAAAACAAACATTCAAGGCATACTGTGAATGATTATTGTAACAGCTGCTTGTGCTCTCAACCAAAATTCCAAGCCATCAAATGGCTGGTGTCATAGCAAATCACATATGCAGCATTATGGCAACTGCAGATCAAACATAGGTTAAGATGGCAGTTTCCTTATCTGTAAAGGATAGGAGGGTTTAGTTTTACTTTAAGTAGCAGGATCAGATGTGCACCAACAAATTAAAACCAGTTCTAGCCTATGTGATATTTAATACTTGCTTATCCTTAAATAGTTGTAGCACTACCCCCTTAGAAGTTGCTGAGTTTTTGGGTCCCCCTATAGTCCTGCACAGCCAGGCAATATACATTTTCTTTAGACCTTGCACGTAGTACACATTAACCAGTAGACACTATTTCTTGTATTGCACATTGCACACAGTAGACATTATTTCTTGTAATTTTATTAAGAGGTAATAAACTTGAATAGGGTTGAGGGATATATGGGATGCCCAAGGGAACTGTAACTGAGCACAACTCCTGAATAACTATGTAGAAGTCTCTATAGTAGATCTCTTCTTGGAGAGCTCTTCAGCCTCTCCTGGTGTACCACCCCAGAACCCAGATAAATCCTCTTCTCATTCAGCTGTACTGAGGGAATCTTTGAGCAAAGGGACTGAGAATCTATCACTTTAAGTGCACAGTCCTAGATGGGAGCTACTCAGGTTTCCCACCAGAATGCACTCTCACCTTTTCTGGCCCAAGGGGTGTAGGATTACTCACTGTTCCTTGCCTGCAGGCTTGTTGGGTTGGTGGCTGCCTTCAGGCCTTCTGCTGGGCTAGCTTCTTCCCTGGCTCTACAGGTGGTCCTCCCTCTGGGGACTGCTAAGGTCAAGCGATCCTCCTCTCCAAGTCCAACCTGGAGGCAGGCCACTTCTCATTGGGCCCCCTCCCAGGCGCCTGCATTCCATCCTCTCACTTCATCTTCCACCTGAACTCTCATGCTGCTGAGCAGGCTCAGTCATACTTAAGGGCTGCTCTGGCCCCATGACAAGCCTCCTGCCTGGGGATTGGTAAGGATCCCTTAAATATTCAGATCAGCCCCTCCTCACCTCCACCACTGCCATTTAGAAACTTCTCAAGTCTATAGAGCAGGGGGAGGTATCATAGAACTGATCTGCAGAGCCTTCAGCCCTGACCTAAGGTGACCTGGCTGACTCAAACCCAGGCTGACTCATGCCCAGGCTGCTTCTCAGCCTTCCTCACTAAAAAAACTAGCTAGCTCCCCCTGGCTACCTAGAGGGGTGCTACACAGTCAAATAACAGGGCTCACATGGTATGAACATATGCTTGTATGTATACTTCTCATAAATGTAATACTACTGTAGCTTGTACAATACAGTGGTGCCTGAGCAACATTAGCTGCCATAATACATAGCATCTATCCGCCCGCCCCCCCTTTCTAAAAGTGGCTACTAATATCCTGGTGGAAGGCAAGGGCATGACAGAGCTGCAGCCCCAAGCACCTGTTGTGCTTAGTTTACATGTATCATTTGCATTATTATTTTAGTTAATACAGGCATTTTTCATGGGAAGAAGTTGCTCTTTTCCTTTTTATGTTAATAAATCAAGTGCTGAGTAAAATATGTTGCTATTGCTGATGTATTTAACCAACTTCCAGGTCCCTGGGATGCCTTTTTATAAATATAATTTTATGTGCCTGTGATTGTCATTCCAATAAATATATATGATATGTTTTTATCTCCAGTTTTTAGTTAGACAGTATTTTTTTAAGATAGGAGAGAGAAGAGGAAGGATAGAAAATAGGAGGAGATTTTTCAGGGAATAAATTATTTTAAAGGGCTCTGTTTAACAA